AAAGTAGATTGATACCATTTTTCACGATCGGCTTCATGTCTTGTAGTCGATTCCCGTATGCGGTACTGCAAAACACAAAACGAAATGCTGATACGTATAGATGCACGTGGATATTAGGTAGGCAACCTGGAACAAAACGTTTACATAATATTTACACTCCCCGTCCCCTCGCCGCATCCGTTGAACACTGGCTGCACCTGTATGGAACCATGGGCCTAAAGCACTACGATAGTGTGTTCACCGATGGCATTATTTTTGAGAAAGCATTTAGTGACGTTAATTCACTCACACACAAACAAAACCAAGCCGGTAATAAACGTCAATTCAAGCCTTCTTAATGGTATGATTACCTGCTAATGTTCATCGAATTCATCGTAGTTATTTTCTGGTAATATTAAGTCACTTGTCCTTGCTTCGTAGGTTTAAGTTTAATGTGGATAGCATTATACACATACGGACTGGCATTCAGACTACTACAGTGCGCGTCTGTATATGTACGAATAACCGAGGCAGAGTCCTGTTTCTCAAGGTCGAAGGCATATCCCTACTACAAAATGTTATTAATTCCTGTCAAACTGATAACCATATCACATGTTACTTACAATATTCTCACGGACTCTGGCAATTCAAAGGGTTTCTCGATCAGGTTGCCGTTTAGGTTTCTGAGCGTAAAAAGGAAGCAAAACAGCAGGTCTCTTATTAGGCACACTACCAACCATTGTGTACATAGGAATGCTGAACGGCGCCAACGTGGAATGAAATCTGTCCATAATGAGAATGTATGTATGAGGGCGCACACTGTAAAAACAAGTGTTGTTGTTGTTTTGTTTCAATGGCGCTTTCAGCAACTCAGGCTATTTGTATACACTTTATTAATCAGCATCACATTACGGAGTTAGGAAGAAGGTCCAATTTTAGAGGCAGGAGGAAACCGGAGTACCCGGAGAAAACCTGCGAGAGCGAGAATGGACAGGAAACCAAATGCACTTAAAGTCTGGGCCAAGCTGGGACTCGAACCCGGGCCTCATTGGTGCAACGAAGGAAAGAACCGCTACGCTAACCCGCTCCCCCCAAAAAACCTAAGTGTTCATGGTTAACCCTTCTTATACCTCTTCCTGGTAACACTCAAGGACGACGGTGTCGTGGTGTTAAGATTCCAAAGCTAAACACGCTGTATTTAAAAAAACCATTACGTATTCGTGTGTTAAGAAATTTTGAAAAAAATGACACATTTTGGAGTTAATAACAGGACCCAAAACACGTTCATCGGATGGTAACACTTTCTTAACACCGAAACACGTTTATTTCCAAATGTTGGTGTTTAATTTTAAATGATAATACATGTTTACAATCTATGCAAAGACGCATTTTAACGGGCGTTGGTACATGAAATGGAAAACACGTGGAAAATAACCATGCTTATTTAGAAGCAAAACCCA